TCGGCGGTGAACATGAGCGATGTGGTGATGTTGAACAAACGTTGGTACTTCCCCGTGGCGCCGAAGTCCTTGACACACGCCATCGCCAGCGACAGCAGGAAGTACGGCGTGTAGCAGACGATATAGATGGTGGAGATGAGGATGATCATTTTCACAGCAGACTTGTCGCGTTTGGTCACGTGATCATGCATTGTTGCTGATGACGTAGACAGACGCCATTTTGTCGTCTGGATAAACTTTTGGACCAGTGCGATGGTCAGAATAACCACAATGATGAATGACGTCAATTGAGCAGTGATACCAAACGATAAAATCGCACTTTCGATTCTGTAGCCGTCTTCAGTGTAAACTAGGCCCATGGTGGAAATGTTTGTTTCGTTATCGATTACTGGGCCTACGTAACACGCAAAGTATATTGGTATCGCAGTTAATATTGAGAATAAGTACACGAATCCAATAATCACAATGGTCCGTTTGTGTGTGATGATGCTCTTGATCTTTAGAGGCAGAGAAATACAGAGGTACCTCTCTAATGTGATGAAGACAATCAGAAGACTTATGACCCGGATGGAGATCACGTGGGGCCAGCTGGAGGCTAAATATACCACAGCATACCAGTGGCTCAACGCTTCTTGAACCAGGGTCTTAATGTTGAAACACGTCCATAGCTGGGACAAGAGTGCTAACGTGTCGGCCACAGACAAACTCAACAAAGAAATGTTCATGTAGTCTTTGAACCCCTGCTTGATGAACACTATCATGTTAACGACATTGAACGCAACGCCGAAAAGACAAATGACGCCGTTGACGACATCACTGCAGATGAGCTCAAATAATTGTGACGTCATTAGAGGTATAGCCTCTAGCTCGTCTCCTTCCAAATTAGACATCTTGCGAGAATCTGTTCTATCTTTACTTTTTCTTGATTCAATTATTCAAGGTACAATTCATAAACATTTGGATTTTAAACTGTACATCCCCCTGCCTTAGTCAACACATTTTTAAAGAAGTCTGTATAGACGGTAAATCGTAGCCAGGCGCCTTCATGTGTACGAACTATCTAACTGCAAAGTACATTTCAAATATTCCAAAACAAACAGCTGATTTGTGAATTGAGTTGAAAGTAATTTGATTCCTTTCATTGCTACACTCAACACATTAAAACTATTTTAGCCGTCAATTATTGCGGTCTAAGTTCATTTTGTCAGCACTCAACAACCGCGCCAATGAGGCATCGAACATGTGATATCTATAAATAATTTCATTACAGATACAAGTTAAGGTTTTGTATATCAAGCACGATGCATTAAAACGGTATGCTAGATAAAAGTAATTATAAAAATATTATAAAGAGTTCAGTTTTTGTTCTAATTACAGATCAGTGTCGTATGTATACAAGTTTGTCATTGCGTGCTCTCAGGATAGGCAGATAAACAACTTAGTAAAGTAGAGACCGTCTAATTAGTGACGTAGGCTAATTAAAACAACTGCGCAGTCATTATAATTTAAGAGGGTAGATCTTAGTTCAGAGCCAGTACTGTAATTAAAAACAATTCGGGGTTAGCGATCTATTTTTATGTCAATAATTTTTAATTGTCAATATTTTAGAAATATTGGACGAGATAAAATCTACTTCGTAAATCCAAAATTATAGAAGTTCTTAAAAAAAACTCCTTCGTAAAGTCATTAATTAACGGCAATTACTTCGAAAAATGTATGTTGATGAATTACATTTATTAAAAATATTACTTTATTTTAGAAGTTAATTGCTATTGACAGCTGTGTAATTAATTGATTATTTTTTTCTGCTCTATGGTATTCCATCTTCATGTTGTCTTGACTTCCCTGTCTTCAAGGACCCACCCCTTAGTCACATGTTCACATTGTGTTTCTTTCCTGTGTGTCTTCAACGTGGGTGTCGTAGGGAGAATGTCACATTCCTGGGTGATGTTCTAGAACTTTTTTCTGTACTTTAGTCTATGGCCAACTGGGCCATCTTCTAGTGACTCTATTCTGTTACATTCCATGACTAACTAGGCCACTTCCAAGGAGTCTATTCTAGGCTGTATTCCGTGGCCAACTTCTTTACTAACATGGTGATCTGCTGAAGGAGGGTCCAATATCAGCAAGTTCTATACTGCTAGTTTAGCTGAAATCTGCAGACTGGACATGTACGCGACGCCTGTAGACGTAGTCAGTGAGTTCAAGACACTCTAGACGTAGTCAGTGAGTTCAAGAAATCTATGAGCTCAGATGACCCCAACACTACAAATGGCGTGATTCACACCTGAGGTTATCAAGTGCACTGATCTCTGCTTGATCTAACCGTCAATATCTTGCGACTGATCGGGTATTGATAGTTTTAATTGATTAGTTGGTCCGTAGTGATTAATTGTTCGTTTACACAACTGTGATTAGTTTATAAAATAAACAGTGGATGTTTGATCTATTTGTATGTGTATTTACTTGATTTAATTAATTTCGATAAATCAAAGCTACTTACTTAATGAAGGAACAATGCGATGGTTAGTAATAAAGCAGTTGTTTAATTGATCATATTAAGACACCATACTTCACCATACACCATCAAACTTTATCTGGTAACATCAAACAACATCATAAACCATCAAACAATCGCATACACAATCAAACATCATACACTATCTAACATTACCATACACCATCAAACAATATCATACACCATCAAACATCATACACCATCAAACATCATACACTATCTAACTTTACCATACACCATCAAACACCATCTGGTAACATCACAGAACATCAGAAAACATCAGAACTAGTAGCCTAGATCACACACCTTCACACAAAAGATCTGCAAACCACAATGTTTAAACACCACATAACAACAACACACAAAATGAACAGTAAGTAAAAAATAACAACCTAGCAACACAAGAGAAAAGTTAATCAAACGACTAGCATAGATTTACATGTAAACAAGGACAATGGAATGGTGCCATGGAAGTTATTGCTTAACTTTATCAGGCTTCGGGTCTTAGAGTGGAGACAATCTTACGTTTACTGACGTGTGTGTAATTTACCTTATAAATGGCTAATGTACTATTAGATGAACTCTATTTAAGAAGAACGTTCATGCAATAAACCTTAAACAAATAAACGCAATGTAAGGAACCGGATATTGCTTACAGTGAGTGGGATGAACCCGTCAAATATTTGAAAGATCCTCCACAACCCAAGATTTTATTGAACAAACACACGGACACACAGTTGAACAGACACACAGTTGAACAAACACGCGGATACAGTTGAACAGACATACAGATGAACAAACACACGGACACACAGATGAACAAACACACGGACACAGTTGAACAGACACACGGACAAACAGTTGAACAAACACACGGACACGTAGAAGAACTAATACATCATTACAGTTCATTCATTCAAGAAGCCAAAACATATGATGTCATTTATTTGGACACAAATGCCATGTCATCATATACAGAATCACTAGAGGTCAAATGTCATCACATACAGAATCACACTAGAGGCCAAATGTCATGTCATCACATACAGAATCACTAGAGGCCAAATGCCATGTCATCACATACAGAATCACTAGCGGTAAAGGCCATGTTATCACATACAGAATCACTAGAGGCCAAATGACATGTTGTCATCACACACAGAATCACTAGAGGCCAAATGTCATCACATACAGAATCACACTAGAGGCCAAATGTCATGTCATCACATACAGAATCACTAGAGGCCAAATGTCATGTCATCACATACAGAATCACTAGCGGTAAAGGCCATGTTATCACATACAGAATGACTAGAGGCCAAATGACATGTTGTCATCACATACATAATCACTAGAGGCCATGTCATCACATACAGAATCACTAGAGGCCATATGACATGATGTCATCACAATCACTAGAGGCGCCAAGAATCCTAGACCGATGCACTTAACCAAGAAATGATACCAAGTGCACTAAATCTAGAACAGATTTTAACAAAAATTACAATAATTGGTATTTAAATAATAAATGCCTATGAACTCCATCCATAATTAATTAGTTTAATTAATGAACATATCACAAACTAGATGAACCGGTATATTGAAGCATCCTGTATCACGTGTATTGTCACGTGACTTAGATGGTATGCATAGATTTATTGTAGTACTCCGTGAAACATAGGATATGTAATAGGACATATGTAATGCAACATATTCAAATAAAACTCACAGATAACATTACAAATTGGGCGCTCGGTTTTAAAACACCTATAACATTATATATAGCCACGCAGTTGAAATTATAATACATGTATACCATTAAGAAAAGAGTAATGATGTAATTATAAAAAATTATTAAAAATATTTACAATATGTTTAGGGCAAATAATTTAAATTATTACATTTGTTAAATGTTTATATTAGCTTATAACAATAAACAAGGGCAATACAAATGTACCACGAAGATCTTGGCGGCTTTCTTTGTGGTGAAACGTTTTGTTAGTTCGACTTTATTCCATCTTAAGGAAAAGATACAGTTATTATTATATATATATATATATATATATATATATATATATATATATATATATATATATATATATATATATATATTAGGTGAGGTTGAATGAAAGAAGATGTCTGAAGACGTCTACAATTATAAAGGCAGCATCCCGATTCTCTGGGTTGATTTAGTGTGACTAGCGACGATCGTTCACGATCTCTAGGTCGGAAACTTGAATCTTGTAACATCTCACTCTGTCATGTGAGGATGTGTTCGTTGGTCTTACAGTAACTTAAATGAATATCATCATCTGATGATTTGAGTAATCTAACCAGTGATTTCTGGATGAATATCATCTCAAGCGTAGAGCGCTCCACCCATGGTACACAACTTGTGTTCATCAAAATTAATTTGAGTCATCTCCCTTGGCTAGTGAAAGTTACTTTCATCGAAATATTTCATAAAAAGTTTTATTTAACCCTATGTTAACAGCATGAATAGAAAGCAAATGACGAGGACTGGACTAGACAGGACTGTCCCACAGTTTCGTATGTTGACGGTACTGTGCACTATATGTTCGATCTTCTCGATTAGTTTCTCCTTCCATCTGTTCTCGTTATGGTCGTAGATCTTGGTACAGCGTGCACTGACTTCCGGTCCCGCTGTGTTTAGATCCAGCCTCCACTTGAGGTGGGGCAGGTACCTCTCCTCCCCCCTGAGGATGCCCTCAGCGGTCTCCTTGTTGCAAGAGGAGGTACTCACCACGATCAGGGTACTGTGGTCTTTGATCATCCAACACAGAACCTCTGAGGTATTGTCTGTAAGATAGAAACCAAAGATGTTGGTCTAGGGGAGGTTTGAAAAGTTTTACAAGATACATGGTGTAGGGGATATTTGAAAAGTTGTACAAGATACATGATTTTTGGGAGATTTGAAAAGTTCAAGGGGAGGTTTGAAAAGTTATTTAAGACAAACTGGTCTAGGGGAGATTTATAAAAGTTATTTACGATAAATGATCTAGAGGAGATTTGAAAAGTTGTAAAGACAATTGGTCTATTGGAGATTTTAAAAGTTATATAAGATAAATGGTGTAGCATAGATTCTAAATGTTACAAAGACAAAAATGTTTCGTTTAGATTATTGATGTTGTATTGCACGCCAGCTAAGCTGATGTTTTGGCTAACTGTTGGCGATATAGACAACAAAACATATCCATTTTGTTTGTTACTTTAAACTAGAGGTATAGACCGGAAGTTGGGCGTACCTGCCGTCACGGTGATGACCGACTTGAAGCTGTTGATGTAGGTCATGGCCGCCACGCAGTGGAAATATTCCAGCTGGTAGGTGGCGTCATCGTAGTCTGGCACAGGAAGTTCCAGGTCAGTGGCTGGAGGTAGGCTGACCAGTGTGATACTCTTGGGAGTAGCCTCCGACCTGTAGCAGAAATAAATCATGGTCAATTTGTTTCATATGAGACAGTCGACTTGACCACTTACTTAAATATCAGACATCAGAACTTGACCACTTACTTAAATATCAGACATCAGAACTTGACCACTTACTTAAATATCAGACATCAGAACTTGACCACTTACTTAAATATCAGACAGCCAGACTTGTTGTATTGGTCTACAAACGAGGCACTTGTTGGCAGCTCGCTGGGAAAGATGCAGGACATTCTCTTGAGGTGACCACGTGACTTGACGGCGACATCCCAGGGTCTACAGGATATAATTGTGGGGGGGGGGAGTTTAGATAATTATTTGTTGGTTATTGATGACTAGGTTTTTAGCAACAGACAACTAAACAAAGGTTTAACACATACAGGGGCGTCACAAGGGGTGCGGTAGGTGGTGACCATGATCTCCCGCACAGGGTGACACCCCCTAGCGACGCCACTGAACATCTTTATAGTATTTAAGGTTCTAAGCCTAACATGGATAAACAGCTCAATGACCACAGAATCATTCACTAACAAAGGGCTGACCACTGAATCATTTACTGACAGAGGGTTGACCACTGCATGATTCACTAGCAATGATGCTGCCAATCATGCTGAGCACTTACTTGTCCTTGGACCTGTCTTTTGGATCAGGCTGAGCACTTACTTGTCCTTGTACCTGTCCTTTGGATCAGGCTGAGCACTTACTTGTCCTTGTACCTGTCCTTTGGATCAGGCTGAGCACTTACTTGTCCTTGTACCTGTCCTTTGGATCAGGCTGAGCACTTACTTGTCCTTGTACCTGTCCTTTGGATCAGGCTGAGCACTTACTTGTCCTTGTACCTGTCCTTTGGATCAGGCTGAGCACTTACTTGTCCTTGTACCTGTCCTTTGGATCAGGCTGAGCACTTACTTGTCCTTGTACCTGTCCTTTGGATCAGGCTGAGCACTTACTTGTCCTTGTACCTGTCCTTTGGATCAGGCTGAGCACTTACTTGTCCTTGTACCTGTCTTTTGGGTCAGGCTGAGCACTTACTTGTCCTTGTACCTGTCCTTTGGATCAGGCTGAGCACTTACTTGTCCTTGTACCTGTCCTTTGGATCAGGCTGAGCACTTACTTGTCCTTGTACCTGTCCTTTGGATCAGGCTGAGCACTTACTTGTCCTTGTACCTGTCCTTTGGGTCATTGAGCACTTACTTGTCCTTGTACCTGTATTTTGGATCAGGCTGAGCACTTACTTGTCCTTGTACCTGTCCTTTGGATCAGGCTGAGCACTTACTTGTCCTTGTACCTGTCCTTTGGGTCATTGAGCACTTACTTGTCCTTGTACCTGTCCTTTGGATCAGGCTGAGCACTTACTTGTCCTTGTACCTGTCCTTTGGATCAGGCTGAGCACTTACTTGTCCTTGTACCTGTCCTTTGGATCAGGCTGAGCACTTACTTGTCCTTGTACCTGTCCTTTGGGTCATTGAGCACTTACTTGTCCTTGTACCTGTCCTTTGGATCAGGCTGAGCACTTACTTGTCCTTGTACCTGTCCTTTGGATCAGGCTGAGCACTTACTTGTCCTTGTACCTGTATTTTGGATCAGGCTGAGCACTTACTTGTCCTTGTACCTGTCCTTTGGATCAGGCTGAGCACTTACTTGTCCTTGTACCTGTATTTTGGATCAGGCTGAGCACTTACTTGTCCTTGTACCTGTCCTTTGGATCAGGCTGAGCACTTACTTGTCCTTGTACCTGTCCTTTGGATCAGGCTGAGCACTTACTTGTCCTTGTACCTGTCCTTTGGATCAGGCTGAGCACTTACTTGTCCTTGTACCTGTCCTTTGGGCCATTGAGCACTTACTTGTCCTTGTACCTGTATTTTGGGTCAGGCTGAGCACTTACTTGTCCTTGGACCTGTCCTTTGGATCAGGCTGAGCACTTACTTGTCCTTGTACCTGTCCTTTGGATCAGGCTGAGCACTTACTTGTCCTAATACCTGTCCTTTGGATCAGGCTGAGCACTTACTTGTCCTTGTACCTGTCCTTTGGATCAGGCTGAGCACTTACTTGTCCTTGTACCTGTCCTTTGGATCAGGCTGAGCACTTACTTGTCCTTGTACCTGTCCTTTGGATCAGGCTGAGCACTTACTTGTCCTTGTACCTGTCCTTTGGATCAGGCTGAGCACTTACTTGTCCTTGTACCTGTCCTTTGGATCAGGCTGAGCACTTACTTGTCCTTGTACCTGTCCTTAGGGTCAGGCTGAGCACTTACTTGTCCTTGTACCTGTCATTTGGATCAGGCTGAGCACTTACTTGTCCTTGTACCTGTCCTTCGGGTCATTGAGCACTTACTTGTCCTTGTACCTGTCCTTTGGGTCATTGAGCACTTACTTGTCCTTGTACCTGTCCTTTGGGTCATTGAGCACTTACTTGTCCTTGTACCTGTCCTTTGGATCAGGCTGAGCACTTACTTGTCCTTGTACCTGTCCTTTGGGTCATTGAGCACTTACTTGTCCTTGTACCTGTCCTTTGGGTCATTGAGCACTTACTTGTCCTTGTACCTGTCCTTTGGATCAGGCTGAGCACTTACTTGTCCTTGTACCTGTCCTTTGGGCCATTGAGCACTTACTTGTCCTTGTACCTGTCATTTGGATCAGGCTGAGCACTTACTTGTCCTTGTACCTGTCCTTCGGGTCATTGAGCACTTACTTGTCCTTGTACCTGTCCTTTGGGTCATTGAGCACTTACTTGTCCTTGTACCTGTCCTTTGGGTCATTGAGCACTTACTTGTCCTTGTACCTGTCCTTTGGATCAGGCTGAGCACTTACTTGTCCTTGTACCTGTCCTTTGGGTCATTGAGCACTTACTTGTCCTTGTACCTGTCCTTTGGGTCATTGAGCACTTACTTGTCCTTGTACCTGTCCTTTGGATCAGGCTGAGCACTTACTTGTCCTTGTACCTGTCCTTTGGGTCAGGCTGAGCACTTACTTGTCCTTGTACCTGTCCTTTGGATCAGGCTGAGCACTTACTTGTCCTTGTACCTGTCCTTTGGGTCATTGAGCACTTACTTGTCCTTGTACCTGTCCTTTGGATCAGGCTGAGCACTTACTTGTCCTTGTACCTGTATTTTGGATCAGGCTGAGCACTTACTTGTCCTTGTACCTGTCCTTTGGATCAGGCTGAGCACTTACTTGTCCTTGTACCTGTATTTTGGGCCAGGCTGAGACTTCTTTGTCCTTGTACCTGTATTTTGGATCAGGCTGAGCACTTACTTGTCCTTGTACCTGTCCTTTGGATCAGGCTGAGCACTTACTTGTCCTTGTACCTGTATTTTGGGTCAGGCTGAGACTTACTTGTCCTTGTACCTGTATTTTGGATCAGGCTGAGCACTTACTTGTCCTTGTACCTGTCCTTTGGATCAGGCTGAGCACTTACTTGTCCTTGTACCTGTCCTTTGGATAAGGCTGAGCACTTACTTGTCCTTGTACCTGTATTTTGGATCAGGCTGAGCACTTACTTGTCCTTGTACCTGTCCTTTGGGTCAGGCTGAGCACTTACTTGTCCTTGTACCTGTCCTTTGGATCAGGCTGAGCACTTACTTGTCCTTGTGCCTGTATTTTGGGTCAGGCTGAGCACTTACTTGTCCTTGTACCTGTCCTTTGGGTCAGGCTGAGCACTTACTTGTCCTTGTACCTGTCCTTTGGGTCATTGAAGTCAGGCTGTATGACGAAGTTGGTCTCGTTACAGATACCCTCGTCGGTCAAGGTCAGGGGCCACTGCTGGATGTTGCTCAGACGGTACCTCATGATGTGGGCGGAGGGGGTGTCGTAGTACATGCACAGGAAGCGGGGGTAGCAGCCGTTCTAGGGGGTACAAGAGGGAGGGGTGTTAGTGAGGGGGGGGTGTTAGTGAGGATAGCAGCCGTTCTACGGGAGACAAGAGGGGGGTTAGTGAGGGGGGGGGTTAGTGAGGGGAGGGGAGTTAGTGAAGGGGGTGTTAGTGAGGATAGCAGCCGTTCTACGGGAGACAAGAGGGTGGGGGTTGGTGGGGGGGTAGTAAGGATAGCAGCCGTTCTACGGGATACAAGAGAGGGGGGGGGGGTAGTGAGGATAGCAGCCGTTCTACGGGATACAAGAGGGAGGGAGGGGGGGGGGTTAGTGAGGATAGCAGCTGTTTTGAGGGAGGAGAGAGACAGAGATGGGGGGGGGGGGGCGTAACCAGGATAGCGGCCTTACTGGGAGAAACAGAGAGAAGGTTGTATCTAGAGAACTATCGCTGAGGAAATTTTGGCTAGAGGATTAGCAAAGATGTATGATTGTGTACATTACTTAGCTGTCGTGTTAACTATACAAATTAGTATGGCAATGTGTCTTAGCTAATTAGGCAAGTCATCAAGCCTTACCTGATACGTTCCCCACAGTATGGCTCGCAGTGCCACTTTATACCGAGGGTCAAAGGTGACGCATTGCAATAATCCTAATGAGGGGTGACGTAGCGAGTTCTGATGAATCTAAACAAAGGGAGAAAACATTTTTTACCTAATTTGTTTAAAAATAAATAAATAATTAGAAGCTGGAAGTGTAAAGGGGAGGGGGGGGGGGATATAATTAACTAAAAGGTCTCCCTTTAAGAGATGAGTTCGCTCCCTTGATTTATTTTAAAAAAAGCGTTGCTTGATTTTAACGTCATTAAAATAAGCAGATAAAAGCCTTTTTAAAAATAAATAAAGCTCTCAAATAATTTTATTTTATTTGAAAACTTCAAATTAACTTTTTGATAACGAATGACCAATTTTAAAACATACATTGTGAAGGAGGAACTTTTTTTTTTTTTTTTTTTTGCTAAATAGAATTAAAAGGTAAAGGATATTTTTTAAAAGAACTATTGTTTTATTATGTAAATAGTTAATGTATTGTTAGACATAATTTTTATAGCGTGACAAAATATTTTTAACATGTGCACGCGATGAACCGGGCATGAATTGAGCTGAGTCGTAAAAATGAGCACTGACCGTCATGTTGGAGGTGGCGCCGTACGGTCCCCTCAGGGTCCAGGTGTGACGCACGTCCTTGTCAAACTCGCAGGCGGCACCTGTCTGGTTGAGGCACTGGTGACAGGACCTGTAGCAGGTGCCGTCGTGACATGGGCCTCTGTGGAAGCTGTAGAGGGGAGGGGACTTGGTGGTTGGCGTTACAACTCTGGGCTCCTACTGGCTACATCGCTACAATACCGTGTTACTGGCTACATCGCTACAATACCGTGCTACTGGCTACATCGCTACAATACCGTGTTACTGGCTACATCGCTACAATACCGTGCTACTGGCTACATCATCATAGCATTGTGCTACTGGCTACATCGCTACAATACCGTGCTACTGGCTACATCGCTACAATACCGTGCTATTGGCTACATCACTACAATACCGTGCTACTGGCCACATCATCATTGTAGCACTGTGCTACTGGCTTCAACATCGTTACACCATCGTGCTACAGGCTATATCATTATAGCAGATTCACTAATAGCCAATATTCACTAATTTATAGGTACATTTATAACATTCTTATAACATTCTCATAACATTCTTATATCTAAAGTGTAATTTTTAACGCATCTATAGATAATTTCAATATTTTGAGGCAAGTTGATACAATTTCTTTACAGCAGAATCTCACCCTAACTTTTTACATTACATATAAAATTGACGTTCTAACATTAGTTTACATGGACGGGCGGTATGTGTGTGTGTATGTATGTGTATGTGTGAGTATGGCAACTTTAGCAACATTAAAACTAACTTTTAACACCTTCACAGCAAACTACTAGTACAAACAAACATAAATAGTTTGTAGATTTTTGAAATTCTGGCATTAACGGCGCGTTCAGACTAATGTATATCGTGTGAACTTTAGTATGACGTCATACCTACAGTCTTTGAAATCCTTGTCGCAGACGTTGGTGATGATTTTCTTCTGCGAGTTGTTGAAGATGACGTAGGCGGTAGAGTAGGGCAGCCTGTTCCTACCCCCAGGGTCACTCAGGTCAGTCACCCGGTAGCACTCCCAGTCCAGGAATAGGGTAATGTGGGTAACCTGTCAATATAGTGGACAAGATGTGGGTTACCTCTCAATATATGGGACATAATGTGGGTAACCTGTCAATATATGGGACATAATGTGGGTAACCTGTCAATATATGGGACATAATGTGGGTAACCTGTCAATATATGGGGCACAATGTGGGTAACCTGTCAATATATGGGACATAATGTGGGTAAAATGTCAATATATGGGACATAATGTGGGTAACCTGTCAATATATGGGACCATAATGTGGGTAACCTATATGAGATAGCTAGATGTGGTTATTGTTATATTGGTAACCCGTCAATTTATAGGACAACACGACAAGCATAACCTGTCTAAAGTGGGGAATCCATGATATGAGTAGCCTGTCAGGGTAATGGATAAAGTGGATAAGACATCTTGTATAACAGGATACCGTGTTGTGGATATCTGTACACAAGTCTACAGAACTAAGGAGAATTCCATTACGAGCGATATCGCCGATAAAGTCTATATTTTAAATGTAAATGAGAACACAATCGAATTTTGGCTAAAAGGCATTATGGTCCGCGTTTAGAGGCGAAAAACGTTTCCATAACAACACATTAGCATTTGTATTTTCCCTAGTCAGCAGTTTTTTCCACATTATCCTGTGTACAGTATTACGCTTTTAAAATATGTAGGGGTTTCATTTTAGTGAGGTTTTGCTAAATATTTTAGTACATGTTGAAATTTAAAGGACAACAGACACAAAATCACTTGAATACGGCCAGGAAATTAGCACATTGGCACGCCAAAATGACACCCACGCAATACAGACTAAACCAACCCCGCACAACCCGGACAACCAGACACACAAATAATCCGGACAACTACACACACACAAACACACAGAGACACACACACACAGACACACAGACGTACACACACAATCCGGACAACGAGAACCAAAATACCACGACAACCACACTCACACAACAGGGACAGCAACACTCACACAACGTGGCCACCCCGCCCCCACACCACCCCCACAGACACCCACCTCAAACTTCCTGAAGCCCACCCGCATGCAGTAGAAGGCGCGGTCGTGCTCCTTCCTGAGCAAGACGAAGCCGTAACCGTCCCTCTCCCACCACGCCATACACACCAACCGCTGGCTCTGGGTGAAGTAGCTGTCGTGGGGGATGCAGTTCCGGTTGCCGAAGTGGAGGTACATCCCCTCCCTCTCTACACAGTCGCTCTCCACCCTCACAGGGGCGTCGGCACGGTGGGGGTGCCTCATGCACTGGGAGTTGTTCCTGAAAGTAAAGATATGTTCATGCAGGCGATGTGAACTTATGCAGACATGTTGACCGGAAAGATGCGTAACGGAAAACGACGCACAAAAAGTGCTCAGAGCATTTTTAGTTTGTTTGTTTAAGTCTTTATGGATTTACTTCCGTAGCCCTTGTCCAACCAAGAACAAACTACAAGGCAGCAGTCGTTTGATTTTGAAGTCGTCTCTCCTAGAAGAGATGCTGTCCCCAGCTATCGAGCCTCATCTGCTCGTGGATGGAGTTCCGATTCCAATTATCGATACCATCAGAACTCATTAAACTTACGCGTTATAGATCTATCTTATTTAAGATATAATTTTCTAAGACGCTTCTCATTATAGGATCTTTCAAATTTATTTAGGAAAATTTTCATCTTAATCTCTAGTTGTGTCCCTTTTCACCCTGACGTGTAGAGTTATCGTTCTTAGCCCATCAGCTAAGCAGCGGAGAATAAACCTGCGTCATTTATTGATGTCATCGATACAATTTGATCAGTGATTGTGCTGAAGCGAGTTCAATTAAAAATTATTGATAACATTTCTAGCCAGACTTAACGATATCAGAATTCAACATTTAAATGGAATTTTTTTTATACAAGAATAACGATTTACATTTATTTTCACGAATTAAGATTTTATAAGAAAGATAAGGTACAAAAAATAAATAATTTAAAAACCTAATTAACATTTTAAAAAATATATTCTCAGTTTTAAAATGAAGAGGTTGTGTCTGATGCTGGAATAGTGAATTTCTTGGTGTCTTTACAACACAGTCCAATAAAAACGTTTGGTGTCTAGAGGAGTTTTAGTTGAAGATAAAATATGGTGGTGAGATCCTATGGTACATTGAACATATTTTAAAACTACTGCAAGAACGACATCAGCAGAAACTGATACTAGTATAACAACATCCGAAACTGCAAGTAGAACAACAACGATGCTGTAACTAGAAGAAACGGCAACCAGAAACAATGCAACTACCAAGACGCCACAATTGTTAACTAGAAAAACGACAACAAAACTTGCCACTCTGAGGACAACAAAAAAACTGACTTTACACAACATCAACAAAAACCACCAAACCAACGACAACATCACTAACATCTGCCACCAGACCAATGACAACAAAACTGTATTCTCAACAACATTATCAACATCTGCCACCAAACCAACGACAACATCGCCAACATCTGCCACCAAACCAACGACAACATCACCAACATCTGCCAACAAACCAACGACAACAAAAACTGTATTTACATCACCAACATCTGCCAATAAACCAACGACAACAAAAACTGTATTTACAACATCACCAACATCTGCCACCAGAATAATGAGAAAAAACTCCACATCGATATCTGTAAACGGGAGTGTGTCAAAATGTCCGAAAGGGATTAAAGGATCTCCTTATCACAGCAATCGTATTAAAAGAGATTAGAGGGATTAATACTGCATCCAGAAATTAGAATGTGTTGGGAACGGTTTTGTGAGAAAGGGGGAGGGGGGAGTGAGTGTTTAAAAGGGTATAACAAAGTTGTAATTCTATAATAACTTAGAAAAATATTTTGGAATAGTTGAGACAAAAAATTCAAGAAAACTTTCAAGAGAATATAAATAATTAATGCATAATTAAGATGGTTTGAGATGTACGCAATGAGTACATGGGAGATGTGCGGAGAATAATACATGCTAGATGTACGCAGTAAGTGCATGCTTGATGTACGCAAAGGGTGTGAACACACGTGTACATGGAGTGTACGAGCGAAAACCTTTGCTGAATGAGTTCAAAACATGATAATATACACAAGCCTTTGAGAATGTTACACACACATGAGAATGTGTACAAACCTGTGCAGAAGGTACACAAACCTGTGCAGTAGGTACACATACCTATGAGAATGTGTACAAACCTGTGCAGAAGGTACACAAACCTGTGCAGAAGGTACACATACCTATGAGAATAAGTACAAACCTGTGCAGAATGTGGGTTTTTGTGAACTCGTGGATCTCATGGAAGTTGTACCCCCCAGAAAATGGACAGTTCCCAACTGCTTGCTTGTAGTAGCGGACGGATATCCACGGCGAGTGGTCCAGTGTCATGTTGCCTGTGGACAAAAAATAGGGGTGTCAGCATATGTTTGGCCAGTTCATGTTGCCTACAAAAAATAGGGGTGTCAGCATACGTTTGGCCAGTTCATGTTGCATGTAGACAAAATATAGGGGTGTCAGCATACGTTTGGCCAGTTCATTTTGCCTGTGTTAACAAAATAGGGGTGTCAGCATACGTTTGGCAAGTTCATTTTGCCTGCAAAAAATAGGGGTGTTAAGGTTCTTTTTTTAAGTCTGAAAAGCTTTTAATTGTAAGGAAATCGTTCTCTAACCGTACAAAAAAATGAGACACAAAAGCTGGTAAAAACGAAATAAACTGCGCCAATCGATTATTGAAATATCAGCATGCAGCATCGTTGTAGGAAACAATTGAATTGCTGCTGTTTGGTGTGTAGTTGCAGATGTTTGGTGATGGATGCTGTGGTGTGTAGTTGCATATGTTTAGTGATATTTTGATATGTACTTTATATTTTGTATGTGTTTGTGTATAGTGTACGTGTGAATACAATTCTATGAGAGTAGGAATGTATGTATGTTAATATGTATGTTTGTATATGTATGTATTTTTTGGATGGATGTGCGTGTCCATAAATGTTCAAGTTTTTATTCTTGTATGAATATGTATTTTTATATGTATTAATGCGCATGCATTTGCAATCGTATGTGACTGCATATAGACATGTCTACATGTGTATGCGTGTATGCGCATGTTTGCGTATGTGTGTCAATGTGTATGTATGCGTGAATACAAGAATCCGTATACTCTCAAATTAGCTTTCGCCACGTTATGAATAATGTGTGTAATAAAAACATCTGGTTTGGTGTCCTACATCTAAATGTCTGACATATGACCGACATCTGACCTATGTTTCACATCTGACCTATGTCCAACATCTGACCTATGTTTGACCTCTGACCTATGTTTGACACAGAGGCGTAGCGACCCTTCCCGGCGCCCGGGGACCAACTTTGAATTTGGCGCCCCCCTGGGAGCAAATTTTCAATTTGCACCCCCCCCCCCCCAACTTTCGATTAGCACCCTCCCCCTAAAACTATTTATAATGCACAAATGCAGCTAAAACGACATTTTAATTTGTTTTTACAACCCATTTTGGGCGCCCCCTAAGGTCGGCGCCCAGGGACATATGTACCCCCCCCTTCCCCCCCCCCCCCCCCCCCCTCTGGTTTGACATCTGACTTGTTATGATATCCGACTTATTATGACGCCCTTCTTCAGTTGCCTGCAGTAGTTGCAGATTTCAGCCACAGGGTAAAATCTCTCATTAATCACATCCGCCCAGAGTATTTCTGTCAACTCTAGCAGAAGTCATTACTCAGCCAACTACATCTCCCATGCCCCCCTCCCCCACAAGACATAAAGCCCTCTTAAAAAACTATCGAGTTTTTCAATCGCGCCGTTTTAATCCGCAATTATTTTTCGCAATGGAACACAGTTATGTGGTATCGATATGCGAAACTAATTAACCATCGCTCACGTTTGTTATACTTCAAATGTAGGAATCGATTCTACAGCCTATAGGTACAAAAATCCACCTGACACCTTCGGATTAAAGAATCGATCTTAGAATCTGGACAATTTTGACTGTGTCCGGCTATATTAATGGTCACACGTCAGTGCCGGCCACTGGACGATGTGGTCAGGTCCCTGCAGGAAAACATGTTCCAATGCTGGAACTGACTTGTGTAGAGCCAGATCAGTGTGACATCTTCAGATAATAGTTCAAATGTTGGATAGTTTTCTTAGCCATCTTCAGATAACAGTTCAAGAGTTGGATAGTTTTCTTAGCCATCTTCAGGATAATTGTTTTTAGATAATATTGGATATTTTTTCTTAGCCAAAAAATCTCTAGAGATATTTAATGAAGAATTTAAAATCTTAAAATTAAGAATATTTTTCGGATCACATCATTACAACGTTTGTGTAATATTAAGAAAATGATAGTGTTGTGTTTGATACTATTCTCAACTGTAGATGGTTAAATATCACACTTAAGATTTGTTTTAGTAAGGTAAAGGTTAAGGGTTTCAAAAGCTGGGTTTTGTGGGTGTGTCCCATGTGGGGTTCATTAAGGTATGTGTGTAGTTCCATGGTAAAATAAAAAAAAAATGGAGACAGACAAACAGCCCGCCGGACAAAAAAAGCGACAAATGTTTACCTAAAAACGTAACACTAACTTTGTGCTTTAAATCGACAGCCATAAAAATCGACCCGACACACCCCACCGTCCACAGAGAGCGGGGCGTCATTTACATACCTTCCCCCCAACATAGAAAGCCGCTTGCATTTATTTTTCATCAGATCCAGCACCACCATAAAACAGACGACCATCAAATAGACATAGGTGACCGATACACACACACAGGCCACCGTTACACAGACATAGGTGACCGATACACACACACAGGCCACCGTTACACAGACATAGGTGACCGATACACACACACAGGCCACCGTTACACAGACATAGGTGACCGATACACACACACTCACACAGGCCACTATTACCCATCATTACACACACACAGGCCACCGTTACACTTACACAGGCCACCGTTACATAGGCCGTTACATAGGCCATCATTACACATACACTGGCCACCATTACACAGACAGAGGTGACCGATACACATACAGAGGCCACAATTACACAGGCCACCATTACACAAACATAGGTGACCGATACACATACACAGGCCACCGTTACATAGGCCACCATAACAAGCATACAAGCGGACATACAGACAAACACTAACACATGCTTATCAAACAAACATACAAACAACCAGACAGACAAACAGCCGGAGAACTTACGGCACCAGACAGACAGACAGACAGACAGACAGACAGACAGACAGACAGACAGACAGACAGACAGACAGACAGACAGACAGACAGACAGACAGACAGACAGACAGACAGACAGACAGACAGACAGACAGACAGACAGACAGACAGACAGACAGACAGACAGACAGACAGACAGACAGACAGACAGACAGACAGACAGACAGACAGACAGACAGACAGACAGACAGACAGACAGACAGACAGACAGACAGACAGACAGACAGACAGACAGACAGACAGACAGACAGACAGACAGACAGACAGACAGACAGACAGACAGACAGACAGACAGACAGACAGACAGACAGACAGACAGACAGACAGACAGACAGACAGACAGACAGACAGACAGACAGACAGACAGACAGACAGACAGACAGACAGACAGACAGACAGACAGACAGACAGACAGACAGACAGACAGACAGACAGACAGACAGACAGACAGACAGACAGACAGACAGACAGACAGACAGACAGACAGACAGACAGACAGACAGACAGACAGACAGACAGACAGACAGACAGACAGACAGACAGACAGACAGACAGACAGACAGACAGACAGACAGACAGACAGACAGACAGACAGACAGACAGACAGACAGACAGACAGACAGACAGACAGACAGACAGACAGACAGACAGACAGACAGACAGACAGACAGACAGACAGACAGACAGACAGACAGACAGACAGACAGGACAGACAGACAGACAGACAGACAGACAGACAGACAGACAGACAGACAGACAGACAGACAGACAGACAGACAGACAGACAGACAGACAGACAGACAGACAGACGTAGAACTTACGACTACAGACGGCTGTGACGTTCTCGATGGTATCCGACAGCTCCAGCTGGATGACGGTGGGGCTGCGGCTGATGAAGTGGATACACTGGTACCGGAAACCGTCCTCTCCATGCTTGACCACGAACACGTCAGGTCTGGGTGGGGGGGGGGGGGGGGAGACGGGATTTAGATTTAGTCAAACATGTCTTACATGCCAGGCTAAACAGAAGGATTTCATTGACCGTTAGGTTAGCCGGTGGGTTATGTGATATGTTTCAGCCAATCAGTGTCACATTGTAGACATTATAATTCTATTGAAAAGTAAACAATGGATTTTATTTTCTTAGAAAGAAAACGCCCAAACCACACTATTGTATTATGGCACGCCCCATGACCTACAAGCCCTATTTACTCATTAGAACACATTCCTGCCTCTGGTTCCCAGAAAGAAGCGCAACGGAAAAAAAGCGCAACGGAAAAAAGCGCAAAACAAAAAGCGCAACGGAAATAAGCGCACACGGAAAAAAGCGCAAAGAGAAAAAAGCGCACACGGAAAAAAGCGCAAAGAGAAAAAAGCGCAAAGAGAAAAAAGCGCAAAAAGAAAAAAGCGCACACAGAAAAAAGCGCAAACAGAAAAAAGCGCACACGGAAAAAAGCGCAAAGAGAAAAAAACGCACACGGAAAAAAAGCGCAAAGAGAAAAAAGCGCAAAGAGAAAAAAGCGCAAAAAGAAAAAAGCGCACACAGAAAAAAGCGCAAACAGAAAAAAGCGCACACGGAAAAAAGCGCAAAGAGAAAAAAGCGCACACGGAAAAAAGCGCAAAGAGAAAAAGCGCAAAGAGAAAAAAAGCGCAAAAAGAAAAAAGCGCACACAGAAAAAAGCGCAAACAGAAAAAAGCGCAAACGGAAAAAAAGCGCAAACAGAAAAAAGCGCACACAGAAAAAAGCGCAAACGGAAAAAAGCGCAAACGGAAAAAAGCGCAAACAGAAAAAAAGCGCAACGGAAAAAAGCGCAAACAGAAAAAAGCGCACACAGAAAAAAGCGCAAAGAGAAAAAAGCGCAAACGGAAAAAAGCGCAAACAGAAAAATGGCGCAACCAGAAAAAAACAACGAAAAATGTGCAAAATGGAAATTTAGCACAAATACCTATATCGACTAGATGACACATTTATACATGACTGTTTAGGGCTGCTGTAAGAGTGTCGTGTTTGATCACGTGATCTACTACCATTTAAAGCGTACCACTACCATGTGCATATGGGTAGGTGGGTGAGTGGGTGGGTAGGTAGGTTGTTAGGTGGGTATGTGGGTAATTGTGTGGGTGGGTAGTTAGGTAGGTGGTTGGGTGTTTGTGTAGATGATATAGATTATGCACATTTCCATTTTGCTAGCTTAGTAACAGTGTTACAAAACTCGAAATTTCAAACTGGTTTGGCGTAAGGTTAGTTCATTGATCCTGTTGAGCCCTACATTACATATTAATCAGTTTAACAATGTAGATGATATTGGAGTAGGTGTAAGTCAAAGCCTGATGTTATTATAAAACTTCATCTCTCTTTGTTTCTTTATAAAAAGGTTTTGGAAGGTTTTTAAAGGTTTTTTACTGAAAGGTTTACCGGACGAATGCAAAATGATATAAACAACCATAGCTCTTCTGTTATATAGGCTACATACAGTGTTTCTTCCAGACTTTTTTCTCAGGGGCTAAGGGGGGGGGGGGGGGAGGGGATTTTCAGGGGGGGGGGGTCAACATTTTTCGGGGGGGGGGGCGGACACGAGTAAAAGTGCATGTTTACATGTTTTCATTACCCTTCAAACAATAGTCTATTTTAGTTATATTGAGATTAAAGAATGTAAATATATAGTACACACAATTCTGTAGAATAGGAACGATTGGGAGGGAAGTGACATATAGCGCAAGAAATTTAGAGGTTAGGTAGGGTATAATAAATGGTGGGGTTAGGAAAGTTAGGGGGTCCATTCTCTAACAGGCAGTCAATGTCTCCTTCGTACTTTCGTGTTGGTTTATTGTCGAACCTGTCCTCACCTCACATCACAACAGTTGGGTGACGCTTACCGTGTAATGTTAAAATAAATAGCATGTAATTGAGTTAGTTCGAAGTGAGTTTTCATACAAGCCCAACGCACTAATTAAGATTGTCGCAAAATGTAACATATATGTAACATATGTCAATGATGTCAATGAATTTTAATTTTAAAAAAGTACAGTTTACGAAACTAACGAACTTCGCCGATCCTTTTTCGGTGGGTAGGTGGGTAAGTGGGTAGGCGGGTAGGTGGGTAGGTGGGTAAGTGGGTAGGTGGGTAAGTGGGTAGGTGGGTAGGTAGGTAGGTAGTAGGTAGGTAGGTAAGTGCGTCATGATGTGAAATAATATTAAATACATAATTGTTATTTTGGTGCGAATGAATGTTGTTGCGAGAGATATGAGAGATATGACGAATGCATGTTAGATGACGCGGATATACGAGAATAGTAGTTGAATAATTATTGACCAAGAAAATAATAGGCATTGTGTAAAGCGATTATTGCCTGTATCGTGGTGAGGGGAATGAACATGGTAGTGGTCAGTGTTCCCTCTAAGCTGCGCGGTTGCGCGGCCGCGCAGTAGTTTTGAGCTGCCGCGCAGTGATTTTGTAAAATAAATATATCTTTGTATAAGATTTAGTGGTACGCTTTAAATGGTAGTAAATCACGTGATCAAACACGACACTCTCATAGCAGCCCTAACTGTCATGTTTAAATGTGTCATCTAGTCGATATAGGTATTTGTGCTAAATTTCCATTTTGCACATTTTTCGTTGTTTTTTTCTGGTTGCGCATTTTTCTGTTTGCGCTTTTTTCCGTTTGCGCTTTTTTTCTGTGTGCGCTTTTTTCTGTTTGCGCTTTTTTCCGTTTGCGCTTTTTTCTGTTTGCGCTTTTTTCTGTGTGCGCTTTTTTCTGTTTGCGCTTTTTTCCGTTTGCGCTTTTTTCTGTTTGCGCTTTTTTCCGTTTGCGCTTTTTTCCGTTTGCGCTTTTTTCTGTTTGCGCTTTTTTCTGTTTGCGCTTTTTTCCGTTTGCGCTTTTTTCTGTTTGCGCTTTTTTCTGTGTGCGCTTTTTTCTTTTTGCGCTTTTTTCTCTTTGCGCTTTTTTCTCTTTGCGCTTTTTTCCGTGTGCGCTTTTTTCTCTTTGCGCTTTTTTCCGTGTGCGCTTTTTTCTGTTTGCGCTTTTTTCTGTGTGCGCTTTTTTCTTTTTGCGCTTTTTTCTCTTTGCGCTTTTTTCTCTTTGCGCTTTTTTCCGTGTGCGCTTTTTTCTCTTTGCGCTTTTTTCCGTGTGCGCTTTTTTCTGTTTGCGCTTTTTTCTGTGTGCGCTTTTTTCTTTTTGCGCTTTTTTCTCTTTGCGCTTTTTTCTCTTTGCGCTTTTTTCCGTGTGCGCTTTTTTTCTCTTTGCGCTTTTTTCCGTGTGCGCTTATTTCCGTTGCGCTTTTTGTTTTGCGCTTTTTTCCGTTGCGCTTTTTTCCGTTGCGGTTCTTTCCGGCCACCGTCTCAAACACCAACTACGCTCTTCCACCTACCCATGTTGAATTACAAGCCCACTACGCCCCCCCCTCTACAAGCCCACTACCCCCCACCTACCCATGTTGAATTACAAGCCCACTACGCCCCCACCTACAAACCCACTACGCCCCCACCTACAAGCCCACTACGCCCACACGTACAAGCCCACTACGCCCACACCTACAAGCCCACTACGCCCACACCTACAAGCCCACTACGCCCACACCTACAAGCCCACTACGCCCCCACACCTACAAGCCCACTACGCCCACACCTACAAGCCCACTACGCCCCCACCTACAAGCCCACTACCCCCCACCTACAAGCCCACTACGCCCCCACCTACAAGCCCACTACCCCCCACCTACAAGCCCACTACGCCCCCCCCTCTACAAGCCCACTACCCCCCCACCTACCCATGTTGAATTACAAGCCCACTACGCCCCCACCTACAAACCCACTACGCCCCCACCTACAAGCCCACTACGCCCACACGTACAAGCCCACTACGCCCACACCTACAAGCCCACTACGCCCACACCTACAAGCCCACTACGCCCACACCTACAAGCCCACTACGCCCCCACACCTACAAGCCCACTACGCCCACACCTACAAGCCAACCATCCCCCCCCCCCACCTACCCATGCCTGACCTACAAGCCCCCCCCCCCACCTACCCATGCCTGACCTACAAGCCCACTTCCCCCCCCCCCCCCCCCACCTACCCGTGCTGCCGGACACATATCCTCTTGTCAGGACACGACTCCTCGTCCGTCTCCTTGCTGGAGCAGATGACGTACATCCCGCCCTGGACACGACCCACGTGGACGCTGCCAGAATATTTCCATGTCCAGTCCCCATAGCCTGGGTCTGTGGACTGGAACACAGGTCAGGTCAGAGGTCAGCTGGTCAGTTAAACGAAGGTAAAAAACCGCTATAGCTAAATTGTAACAGCACAATACTTGATAGCTTTTTAATAACGTGTTGTGTGTGTTCGTGTGTGTGTGTATGTGTGTGGTTGGGGGGGGGGGACATTTTCGATCAAGGTTTGCAAAATGAAAAAGTTTTTATTAGCTGCTTAGGAAGCTTAAGTCGCTATGTATGTGTGCCTGTGTGTCCGTGTGTGTGTGTGTGTGTGTGTGTGTGTGTGTGTGTGTAAATAGTACAAACTTAGTGATTCATGCACCCTCCGAATATTCCACAACAGGTAGTCATGTGAGTGAGTGCATGTAAGTGTGAGTGCATTTACTGCACTTTGATGTCACCTAACTTGAATGGTGCATCATCACCTGGTATTTACCTATAAGTATTCTTAAAACACCTTGCAGTACACCTGTAAGAACTCATGAAATAGCTTGGCACTCACCTGTAAGTACTCAGGTAATAGACAGGTACTCACCTGTAAGTACTGTGTCAACAGAATGGTACTCACCTGTAAGTACTCAGGAAACAGGTACTCACCTGTAAGTACTCAGGTAGTAGACTGGTACTCACCTGCAAGTGCTGTGTGAACAGACAGGTACTCACCTGTAAGTACTCTGGAAACAGGTACTCACCTGTAAGTACTCAGGTAGTAGACTGGTACTCACCTGCAAGTGCTGTGTGAACAGACAGGTACTCACCTGTAAGTACTCAGGAAACAGGTACTCACCTGTAAGTACTCAGGTAGTAGACTGGTACTCACCTGCAAGTGCTGTGTGAACAGACAGGTACTCACCTGTAAGTACTCAGGAAACAGGTACTCACCTGTAAGTACTCAGGAAACAGGCTGGTACTCACCTGCAAGTACTCAGGAAACAGACACCCCGGCTCATCATACATCATCTCTCCCATCAGAACACACTGCCGCGCCGACACCAGGAAATAAATCAGCAGCGCCCATTTGGGCGTCCAGTCTAGATGCCTAGCCGCCACGGCTGCTGCCCCCTTTGTACGCCTGCGTGTCATTTTCCCGCCTTCTGTCAGGCGCGCTGCTCTTTAAATATTAATTTATATACGCCGGGGGAATTCCCGCCAAATGGAGATTCCGAGAAGATGGAAGCTCTGTGCATCCCATTTCCGGTTCACAATCCAATCAGATCATTTGCATTTTGAATTCGCGAGAAAGGCAGGGAAAAAAATTATGATGTAAGAATCAATTCTTTATCAATGAAAGAAACCATTGATTTTTATTTTAAATCAGAACTGCCGAATAAACGGCGCTCCGAAAGTTGTTTTGCGATTATTTCGGATTCGCTGGTTTGATTATCATTGAGTCGAAAGTTTGAAGCTAGCGGATGTCAAACGCGGATGTTAATGACGTCATTAACGCGCCAAATTATCTAAACAGCGTGAATATCTGGCAACCATTGGCTTGCCTGTTGGGACGTTTTTAACTCAGGAGATATCTTCACACACCGCTGGCCAGTTGGGTGTTAGCTGGTCAGTTACACCATGGTTTGGTGCTAGCTGGTCAGTTGGTCCTCATATTAGAGTTGACTGGTCAGTTGTGGTTTGACCCTGGTCAGTTGAACCTCCTATCTTGTGTCCCTGTCAGCTGATCTTTCCATCTGGGTCACTAAGTGTGGAGCGGTCAAGCAAAGTTCAGCTTTTCAATCTTGCCTCGCTTCCGTCTTTACAGTACATCACCCACTTTACCTCTAGTCAATCTTACACGGCTAGTTAATCATTTACATCCAGCCAATCCTTTAAAGCCTATTGTACAATCGTTGCAAGTGTACATTCCTTCACTGATAGAATCCCTTGTAGCAAAAATATTTTTTTTCTGTAACAAACTGGCTGGTATCTGAAATCAGAAAACATTGTCTACTCAGAGATATGATATGTTTGTCAACATATTTTTTCTAGTAATGTGAACTAATAAGAATGATTTTATGTATAAAAGGGGTCGATGTGTTGCATCAAGCTGTGTCAGCACTTACAGTCAGACACAACGACCAATGTCCCCTAGGACCACGGTTTGAGTCCTCTAGACATGCTCAGTTATAAAGGGGACAAGACAGATACTACGGGACAAAATATTCCAGAGTTAAATATCCATGGACAAAAATCCATGGACAAAATATCCATGGACAAAATATCCATGGACAAAATATACATGGACAAAATATCCATGGACAAAATATCCATGGACAAAATATCCATGGACAAAATATTCCAGGATAAATAACCTAGGACAACATATACACTTGGATTAAATTATCATCATTTCCCAATGGGGCAGATGAAGTAGAGTTTAACTGCAGCAGAGAAGCTTGACATTTGAAGGGATAGTGTGGTCAGCACAATGCCCAGCCGCCTTTGTTTCACCTAACGTGAATTAGGTACCGATCAGAGTTGGGTGGACGTCCCACTGATTTGGACCCGGATTCGAACTCGGGACTCTCTCTAGCGCTAGGCCACGACACACCAAACTGTGCGCACGTGGTACGTGGCCTGACCGACTGAAAGGAGATTGTTTATATTATTGTTTTGAGTTTATATTTAACTCAATGCAACAAGCCCGCCGGTTGGTTGAGGCCACGCCGGGGGGGGGGGGGGGGGACGTTCTGTCTGGGATTCAAAGGGTCGACTCGAAATATCGTCCCAAAATCTAAACACTAAACTTAAACCACGCATATTAAACCCTCCAACCATTACCGACTATATGTTGGACAACTAAGTTTTTAAGTTAGCTGCTTTGTTAGCTTGGTCGGGATAAGGGTTCAGGACATCGAAAACAACACAGCAAAGTTGCTCTTTTGTTTTAAAATGGCAGCCTGGTGTTACATTACTCAACACACCAGCAGACGTCATCAAGTTTACATCAACACTGAACTAGACATATTGAGAACAATCTCTGACGACACATCTGATTACCAGATCTTGTTCTTAGTAGCTGCTGGGTGTAACACACAGCGTACACACTACACAGGGACCAGACATTCAAGGGACATCACTAAGATATGTATATCACAAGGTACGTAACAATAACTAACAAAACATAAGACCTGGTACCTGGTAACGGAATTGTACACAAACCAGGTGTAGTCTTTGATTCACTGCCCTTAAACCGAATAAAATATTTAACACAAGATAGACAAACACAAACACAACGATCTGTTCCTGTTGTTTCCCTAGGCTCGAGTGAAAATAAAAAAAAGCTACTTTCGATTTTGTTTTCTTCACTTCCGACGTGTTGTTGATAGTATCGGACTAAAATCACTTGGCACTTGAATTATTCATTAAAGAGAGAGAAAAAGGAGCGGCTGTGATGTTTTTTTTTTCTGTTTGTTTATCAGTGACTCGACGTGGCGTCGTCAGACACTCGACAGATAAGTTTAACCTCGTCCACGATTGGGGTGGGGGGGGGGGGGGGGGAAGGAGGGGAAGGAGTAAAAGGAACGTTGGGGGGGGGGAGGGTAAGCACGGAAAATACAACTGTTGGGGAGAGTATTTAAAGATAAACTTATTTAACCATGTATGTGTCTATTTTGTGTGTCTATGTTTGTATAACTATGTGTGTGTGTGTCTTTTTTTAAAAAGCGTGTGTCTTTTTGGCATATTCTTCTATGTGTCTATTTTCGAATATATTCGATGCACTGGCAGAACTAAAACAATTTTTTTATTTGTCCCCCACACCTCCCCCCACACACACACTCCCCCGAACTTTGTTACACAATTGTAAATTCTTCTGTCTGGTGAAATATGTACACAGTGATATCTGTTTTTATTTAACAGTTTATGTATCTTTCAATCAGTATGTCAGTCTATCAATATGTCAGTCTATCAATATGTCAGTCTATCAATATGTCAGTCTATCAATATGTCAGTCTATCAATATGTCAGTCTATCAATATGTCAGTCTATCAATATGTCAGACCATCAATTTGTCAGTCAAACACATTTTTGTCTATTTTGATCTACCGGATCTTACAACATAAATGAGGCGTCATCTGAACACATAGTGGCATAGAGCACAGAAAATGTACACAAAGCTCCGAACGAGATGTTGACCAACCAGCAATGTTTACACAACAGGGTGGGGGAAATATTGACACGACACAGCTCCAAGCTCTATCTTTTGTTTTAATGACACTGTCACGTGGCTCCCGTTCAACTGTAGCTCACGTGACAGTTAAAAAACGAAGACGTCATTTCCGGTGTAGGTCACTGGAGAGTTCTGGAACTAACGTGTTTTTTTAATTTACTTTTTTTAAAGATTTTTCTGTGGGGAAATTTTTTTTACTGGGCTGACCATGAAACATGACACTGGAATAATTACAAAGGTAGTTACTGGTCTAAAAACTAAAATAGTTACTGGTCTAAAAACTATAGTAGATACTGGTCTAAAAACTAAAGTAGTTACTGGACTAAAAACAAAAGTAGTTACTGGTCTAAAAACAAAAGTAGTTACTGGACTAAAAAAAAGTAGTTACAGGACTAAAAAAAACGAAGTTACGGTTTAAACACAACAGTTTTGTTTGACTGAAACCAAAATGTTTTCTGACTTAAACGAAAAAGTTCTTTGACTAAACGTTGTTCTTTGACAAAGCTTGTAGATCTAAATCCGTGTATGTCAAACATAAACAGCTATAAGCGAACGTTGCAGGACTCTAGTGGTCGTGTAGACGTGTGGTCAAGTGGTGCTGGTGGTGGCTCTAATGTGGTGCTCACGTGGTCGTAGATGTCACGCTGACCCTGAGGTGAAACAACAGTGTGGTGCCGCATGACGTTAGACGGGGGGGGGGGGGGGGGGGTGGTCCATAAATGGCGTCACACACCTTGGAGAATAGGGGACTTCACTGACGATGTGTGAGGATTGGATTTGGGGGGGGGGGGGAGTATAGAAAGTGTAACGAAAAAGTGATGTTGGAAACTGAATTTTAGCCATTATTTCACGAATTTAAAAAAAATTTATAGATCATAAATAAATGTATGAATTATAATAAAAATTAATTAACATACACATAGTTGATCGAGCTCACTCAATATTTTAAAGAAATCGATTTTAAAAAAAGAATTTGTTACGGGTTTAGTAGATTGTTTTTATTTTATTTTGTGAGGATGGGGAAGGGTGGGTGTTTTTAAAAGCGTGACGTCGTTTATGGATTATCACTACTGACAACAATTCTTTAGGAGTAAAACAGGTTTTATATTCATGAAAATAAACTAATGACAGCTAACAAGCATTTTAATTTTTAGTTTTTTTTTTTTATTCATTCGACTTATTTTTTTTAAATTAAAACTTCGCACAGATTATAATTGTTAACCTAGTTTCTGGATAAACAGAAAATCTGTTTAATTAATAATTACATTCCTTCAATTTTCAATGGGATTTGTTCTAAAATTCAAATGCCAACAACAAAACATTGCGCCATTTTTGTTCCACGGATCCCTAGAGTGTTTGGTGCGGAAAAAAATTTGTGATAGAAAAACTGTGTCCATTCATCTCAACTTGAAACGAGCGAGTGCACAATGGTACTGAGTTCTGTCCCTTCTTACCTCGCTTGTTGCCCTTGTTCATTGAGTAGAAAGACAATCGGAGCGTGAGTGTCAGGAACCAGGCGTGTCTACAGTAGAGTAAATAACAGTTGTCATGACAACAGTTGTAAACAATTCATTGTATCGACGACGCAGGTGAAGTAGGGTTCATGTGGATATGGCTTATCAAGTGACGATGCATTAGCCTTGTCATGCTTTCATCATTTTGCAAAAAAAATCCAGGTACCCAGTAAAGCTGGGTCGGCTCAGAGACCACCTAAAGATTCAAGTAAAAATTCAGCAAATTGAACCGAAATCTTTGAACCATTTGTTATTTCTTTAAGCTGATCTACCGATATTGGACGAATAAAAGCCAGAGAAAGGGGAGATTCAGAGCAACAGCAAAACAACATAACAAAAACAACAGCAAAAACAACACAACAAAAACAACAGCAAAACAACATAACAAAAACAACAGCAAAAACAACACAACAAAAACAACAGCAAAACAACATAACAAAAACAACAGCAAAAACAACACAACAAAAACAACAGCAAAACAACATAACAAAAACAACAGCAAAAACAACACAACAAAAACAACAGCAAAACAACATAACAAAAACAACAGCAAAAACAACACAACAAAAACAACAGCAAAACAACATAACAAAAACAACAGCAAAAACAACACAACAAAAACAACAGCAAAACAACATAACAAAAACAACAGCAAAAACAACACAACAAAAACAACAGCAAAACAACATAACAAAAACAACAGCAAAAACAACACAACAAAAACAACAGCAAAACAACATAACAAAAACAACAGCAAAAACAACACAACAAAAACAACAGCAAAACAACATAACAAAAACAACAGCAAAAACAACACAACAAAAACAACAGCAAAACAACATAACAAAAACAACAGCAAAAACAACACAACAAAAACAACAGCAAAAACAACATAACAAAAACAACAGCAAAAACAACACAACAAAAACAACAGCAAAACAACATAACAAAAA